CGGGCGCAGCCCACTTCTACCCGACGCCCTAGGCCTACAAACGCAGCAACTGCCTGCGGACTATTCGACCGTCCAAGCTGATATCATGTACGGCCTATCTACATCCGCATCTAGACAGAAACCGACCAAAAGGGGACACAACCTTAAGACCTAGCAAAAGAAAAGCCCTACGGGCGTCCCACTTTCCGAAGGACGAAACCGCAAAACTTAGGAAAACTTAGGATAGGCAGAAACGACAAAATCGCAACCTACAACTACACCGACAGCCAAGCTCCAGTGAGGGACAGGTCACGGGATCAAGTCCCGGAGCCCTTACAATGGGACACTTGAGCGTATACATAGAAAGCTGCAATTCATTGCATCTGAGTTCTCTCTATAGACGTGCATTGTGATTGTGGGTTGAAGTCGGGTGCACTTTTTTGGGGGGTTTTGTCGTGGTCTAGGTAGTGAGCAGGGTCCATAACAAAGGAGATCAGCATGTGGATCAACATGCACCTAGACCACATGCTGTAGTGTAGATGACGACACTGTAGTGTAGCTCCCGGCTGGATCAGTCGCTGTAGTGTAGAATTTGTAGATGTCGTCACTGTAGTGTAGGTGTCGAACTCAGGGTAAGACTGATAATGGGGATGCCCTCTTGACTCACTTGTTTATCCGTGGGTTAGGATCTGAGTGATTCCTTTCTTCGGGAGGAGGAGGAGGAGGAGGAGGAGGAGGAAGATCTGAGGGATGGGGTGTATTGCGGTTGGATGGAGAGCACGTGCAGTCACACAGGCATAGAGCTGCATAGCAAGATGTTTAACACACTGCATTTCTTGAATGAGACAGAGGGCCACTGGCCACTCACATGTGCTGCTTTTATCAAGACGGCGGGGGGGGGGGGGGGGGGGGGAGGATGAGGAGGAAAAGGCATGTGCTGCATTTGTCGAATGCGAGAGCGGGTGACTGTCAATTCTCATTTGTTTTCAGGGGGAGGAGGAGGAGAGGGAAACGAGGAGGGGGAGGAGGAGGAGAGGGAAACGAGGAGGGGGAGGAGGAGGGGGAGGGGGAGGAGGAGGAGGACCACAGTGTGTTTGTTTCATCTGACACTGTCACAATCGACTTTCGTTTTCTTTCTTCAGAAAGGAGGCAGAGCAGGAGGGGGAGAAGGAGATCAGATTACTGCTGAGGAGGAGGAGGAGGAGGAGGAGGAGGATATATGCACTCCTATTTATGGACACCAGGAGGTGTGTCACAGACACTCTTGCACACACCATGCAAAACCGTCATGCTTGCTCATATATACGTGCATGGGCTTGTGCAGGCGCACGCAGGGCAAGTGGCAACAGACACAAACTGTTACATACTTCAATGAGTATGGGCAGAACCAAAGATCAACCAATATAGGATGAGCATTTATGCAGCGGAAGTCTGATAACGAACTGACTCACATAGACTGACTCACATAGACTCCACACACATACAGTCATGAGATGGTGGGGTCTGGGTCATTCATAGACGATACCCAGATCCCGTACACACATACACAGATGAAAGGTGGGAGGAGAGACGAAGGAGGTAGGAGGTAGATCACACCGATAGGTCACAAGATAGAGTCTGGTAGGTCTCCGAAATGGTAGTCCAGAATGTCATATAACAAGATCAAAATGTCGAGGACCAAAGGTCACCAATGTCGGAGATAACCGAGTCCAGATTTAACCGGTGTCCAACTGTGATGCAGCCGAGTGTCAACCTCAACAATCTCCAAGTCTCCAATCAGGTAAGTACCACAGCCTCGTATCACCGAAATCCAACTCTGATCCCTGTCCAACTGGATAGTCTCCAATCTGAAGAAGAAGAAGAAGAAGAAGAAGAAGAAGAAGAAGAAGAAGAAGAAGAGTCTCCAATCTGAAGAAGAAGAAGAAGAAGAAGAAGAAGAAGAAGAAGGAGGAAGAGGAGAGAGAGAGAGAGGGGACTGGCGAGGGAGAGGAGGAGAGACCCTCCAAGCTCCCGGTACCTCGGGCGGCAATGGCCGCCGTGCTGGCTCAGTCGCCCTGCTGCTGCTCCGCTCGCTGCTGCGCTCCTGCTTCAGCCCCTGCGCTAAGTTTAGCGCATCAAAACAGTACACTAGTACTGACCATGCCGTGCCGGTAGAGTTCCGGTAGGCCGATGCCTCAACTGAGGCGGATACCGGTACTTATACCGGTAGGCA